GCCTATGAAGGGAAAGCCTCCCTTTCTTCTTCATTTAATTCAGACAATGTGGTCCTACCCTTCCGCTTCTACATCAAGAGGCAAGACTAGTGTCCATATGTCCAAGTTCTTCCCCAGTGTGCTAGCTGCTCCTGTGTCAGAGGAGGGTGAGTAAGGCTTGTCCTGTTGCTATGGAATATAGTCAAGGGCTGAGAAGAAGGAGGGCCTAAATACACCACACTCTAAATGAGTCACAACACAAGGACTTTCTGAAAATTGGCAAAAACAGCCCTACTATCATCACCACCATTACAAGCACCCTACCCCCACATGCGTAAAACATTTGTCAACATAAGCTAATGAGGAAAAAGGAAATAGTTGGAATTGAGAGCTCCCAACCTCCTGGGTCCTTGATGAGACATTTTATACAAGACTGAAGAGGTGTGCTTCCCTACCCCTCACGAAGCTAAGAGGTGGATAGGGTTGCAAGATAATCACATTTAGAGACTCAGGGCATGGGTGGGGGGGTGGAGAGGAAACTGGCACCTACCTTTGGATAGATACTCACTGAATTGTACAATCTGACGTCTCACACTGGTGCTACTATCCAAGTGGAGTGTGGTAAGATGTCTCTTGGGAGAGTTTGACAAGCTTCCTAGAGTTCGGAAATATCCATGAATGTGCAGCCTGGTCTCTGCTGCTCCTCTGGAAATTTATGAAGGCAGAATACCGTCTGAGTAGCTCTTGGGAAAAGATGGAGACAACAACCTATTATAGGGTGCACAAGTAAACTTTAGTAGTTTTCATGCCTACTGCATGGAACATAGAGTCAGAGGATTTGGAAGGAGCCGCAGAATTTGGAGTCTGACCAAGGGGCTTTCAGGTGAAGGTAAATGAACTCCCTCATTTATGCAGAGGCTACCTCTTCCTTAGAGAAAGAGTATAGAGAGGTCCAGTGGAAGATAATATCCCTATAAACCCAACCACACTGACTATACAGATACTACCACACAGCAGCAGAAAGATTCAAATGAACCCAGACCCAACCAAAGGACAACCAGAGATTCCTTTCCACCACTGACTCTGGCCCAGCAATCTAAGATCTTGCTCTCATCCCTTCTCCCTGGCCCCAACTGAGGAAGGTTCCAATGGTTCTCAACTAAGGCAGAATGAGCCCCAGAGGGTATTTGGAAAAGTGGGAGTGGGGTTGGTTATCATAAAGACAGAAAGGTGCTACAAGAATTTGTGTTGGGGGTGAAGGAGAAAAAATAGTTACATGTTCTCAAATGTGCATAGCAGTTACACCCTAAGAATTATTTCATCCAAAATGACAATGGTACTTGTCCCCCCACCCCAATGGAGAAATGAATGTGTAGATCCAGGAGAGCATGGAGGTGTGTTCTCAGGGTGAATTATTTCTCCTCCATTCCCCCACCTCTTGCTTATCACCCTCCTCTTTATTCCAAGGTGAAAACTGTGGTTTTAAAGAGATGGGAGATTAGATTTAAATTAAATCCGAGATTAATACTTTAAACCAAAATGAACTAAAATTGTTATCACTGGAAAAGAGCAGAAAATTACCAGAGATGTTAAAGAGTAGGAAATGGAAATTCAGCTGAACACTATAGAAATCAACAATTGGAAAAAAAATGCAAACATTTCATGTTTATATCCCCACTTAGTTAAAGCTCCACACTTACCTCCCCCATAAGGGGGGTTGGGTCATGGTTTTCAAACAAGCCAAGGAAGGAAGGTCACAGAGATTGTTTCTGTCTGCCTTACTGACCACTGCAGATAAGCAGCTGCTGCTCGCCCACTTGGAAAAACATTACATCCTGCTTCCGCCAAGGGCCCCGGGTGAAACCAGAGGCTGGCATGGAGGGCTGTGGCAGTTGGATAGAAAGCTCATCGGAAGCCTCGCGGGGGTGCTGGCCCATGGGCACAGATGCGACACTCCAGATAAAGAGTTACAATGGGTAAGTAATAATCATGAGGTGGCTTTTCCTCGCTTAATATCAGAGCCCACTGCCAAATGGCCCATCAGGGAAACTGCCCAGGTCACGGCAGCCTGGCCTGGGATGAGGAGAGCTGGGAGCATCTCCCTCCGATACACATCAGAATTTGCTCTGAGCTCCCACCTCTCCACCCGGTTTGGGCTGTCTTGGCTCACACAAAATGTACAACTCCAACAATCCCATTTTCCCTTAGGATTCTTCCTACCTCCCTTCCTTTCCGTCTCCTCACCCACATTTAGATAAACAAATAATTGGAAAGTGCCCTGGTTGATTCCACATCCAAAATACCCCACCTAAGAGGTGTGAAGATGGTGGCTGTAAAAACCAGTGCGGATTGGGACTTAGTGACACAGAGGCTGCTGGAGACTCAGCTGTTCCTCTTAAAGGCCAGCATCACAACCTGAACTTACAAGGTCCTGCTTCCTCTGAGTTCCAGCACCAGGGAGAGGCTCCGGGGAACACAAACACAGGGCAGGACCTGGGGTGGATTTCTTCCAGATGGAGGTGCTCTCAGGGATCTTTGTTCCTATGCTGGGACTTCCGGGCGGTTGCAGGGCTGACTGGAAGCCATTTCTGTTTGCTCTACCCTGGTGATTCCCCAAGACCCAGCCTCATCCAATTTACAACCCCACCCAAGCTGTATGCAGCAGCTTTTGCATGTGAATGGCCTTTTCTTGCTCAGGATAAACCTCTCAAATAAGCTGCACCTGAATCAGTGAGCTCCAAACCTATCAACACTTAGCACCAGCACCAGCCTGCCTTGCTTCATAGCTGGGCCTTGTCTGGGCATTTCCAAATCCTATACAAAGAAGATAAATCTGCAGGTCTCTCTGTAGCTCCTGCTGCGTGGCCCCAGGTAGTGGCTGATTTTGCATCTCCCTGGAGACTCAAGAGTCAGTGGCAGACCATACTACCCTGTTTCCCCGAAAATAAGACAGTGTCTTATATTAATTTTTTCTCCCAAAGTTGCACTAGGTCTTATTTTCAGGGGATGTCTTATCTTTCCATGCGGTAATCTTATTTTCGGAGGATGTCTTATTTTCGGGGAAACACGGTAGATTACAATTCTACACATCCATAAGCGACACACTCAATGCGGCAGACTCAATGAGCACCAAAGCCCTATTGAAGCAAGCGCTGCTCCAAAGGGATACCTCCTGCACAGCACCTCTCCCACTCTAGTCACAGCTGGTCCTCACAGCCAATTGGCCTGGAGGTCAGTTCCTCCCAGTGACCAATACCAATCAAGTCTCAACTACAACAGCCCACAAATGGGTGCACCTAGAGCTCCCAGCTTAGATGACTGGGGCGGTTAAGCCACCGGGCCCTATAGGACACCGACTACACAAGGCACTCTAGAAAACATAGCAGCTCTTCCCAATACATAGAAACTAACACAGGGAAACAGACAAAGAATCACGTCACAAATGAAAGAAATGGAAGAAAGCAAACTACTGGATTATAGAGTAGTTATAAGGTTACTCAAGAATTTTCTAGAAACCTCCAAAAAAATGGAAAAGAATAAAATCCAACACCCTGTCTTGATTATAAACCCTCAGGAAAGTGTAAATAGAGGGATTATATCTCAACATTATAAAAGCCTTCTATGACAAACCTATAGCAAACATCATACTCAATGGGGAAAAAATAAAACCATTTCACCTAAGGATAGGAACAAGACAGGAATGCCCACTCTCATCACTCCTATTTGACATATTACTGAAAGTGCTAGACATAGCAATTAGATAAGAAGAAGAAATAAAAGGCATCCAAATTGGAAAAGAAGTAAAACTGTCTTTATTCACAGATGACATGATATTGTACATAGAAAATCCTAAAGACTCTATCGATAAATTATTAGATTTAATAAATGAATTTGGCAATGTAGCAGGATACCAAATTAACACCCAGAAATCTATGGATTTTTTTTATACACTAATTATGAACTTAAAGAAAGAGAAATTAAAAAACAATCCCAGAAGAAACTGCCAGGCCTTCCCCAAGGGCCTCTGGGCTCCTGGTCTTGGGCCTTGGAGCCGCAGGCCACACGCCCTTTGGTCAGAATCCTCTGGGAAAGATCAGGTGGGAAGAAAGGTAACGGGCCTTCTGTAATCAGCGCTGCCGATTCAAGGCCCATTTCAGGGTTTTATCTCCACGTCCCGAGCCCTGCTGAGTCACACCCCTTGTCATCGTGGAGCCTTATTTCATGAAGTAGTAGGATGGTTGGAATGGCCTTAATCATGAGACTTTTAGAATTGTTTCAAAGCGGAATTATGCATCAGAAGCAATTAAGGGAGCAGTTGTTGGTATTGATTTGGGTACTACCAATTCCTCTGTGGCAGTTATGGAAGGTAAACAAGCAAAGGTGCTAGAGAATGCTGAAGGTGCCAGAACCACCCTTTCAGTTGTAGCCTTTATAGTAAATGGTGAGCGACTTGTTGGCATGCCTGCCAAGAGACAGGCTGTCACCAACCCAAACAACACATTCTATGCTACCAAGCATCTTATTGGCTGGCAATATGATGACTCTGAAGTCCAGAAAGACATTAAAAATGTTCCCTTTAAAATTGTCCGTGCCTCCAATGGTGATGCCTGGGTTGAAGCTCATGGAAAACTCTATTCTCCAAGTCAGATTGGAGCATTTGTGTTGATGAAGATGAAAGAGACTGCAGAAAATTACCTGGGGTATACAGCAAAAAATGCTGTGATCACAGTCCCAGATTATTTCAAAGACAAGCCACTAAGAACACTGGTCAGATAGCTGGACTGAATGTGCTTTGGGTAATTAATGAACCCACAGCTGCTGCTCTGGACTATGGTCTAGACAAGTCGGAAGATAAAGTCATTGCTGTATATGATTTAGGTGGTGGGACTTTTGATATTTCTGTCCTGGAAATCCAGAAAGGAGTATTTGAGGTTAAGTCCACCAATGGAAACACTTTCTTAAGTGGTGAAGACTTTGACCAGGCCTTTCTACAATACATTGTGAAGGAGTTTAAAAGAGAGATGGGAGTTGATTTGACCAAAGGCAACATGGCACTTCAAAGAGTTTGGGAAGCTGCTGAGAAGGCTAAGTGTGAACTCTTCTCATCTGTGCAGACTGACATCAATTTGCCATATCTTACAATGGATGCATCTGGACCTAAGCATTTGAATATGAAGCTGACCCGGGCTCAGTTTGAGGGGATTGTCGCTGAGCTAATCAGGAGGACCATCGCACCATGCCAAAAAGCCATGCAAGATGCAGAAATCAGCAAGAGTGACATAGGAGAAGTGATTCTTGTTGGTGGCATGACTAGAATGCCCAAGGTTCAGCAGACTATGCAGTATCTCTTTGGCCTAACCCCAAGTAAAGCTGTCAATCCTGACGAGGCTGTGGCCATTGGAGCTGCCATTCAGGGAGGTGTGTTGGCTGGTGATGTCACAGATGTGCTGCTCCTGGATGTCACTCCCCTTTCTTTGGGTATTGAGACTTTGGGAGGTGTATTTACCAAGCTTATTAACAGGAACACCACTATTCCAACCAAGAAAAGTCAGGTGTTTTCTAGAGCTGCTGATGGTCAGACTCAAGTGGAAATTAAAGTGTGCCAGGATGAGAGAGAGATGGCTGGAGACAACCAACTTCTTGGACAGTTTACTTTGATTGGAATTCCCCAAGCCCTACGAGGAGTCCCTCAGATAGAGGTTACATTTGACATTGATGCCAATGGGATTGTACATGTTTCTGCCAAAGATAAGGGTACAGAACGTGAGCAGCAGATTGTGATCCAGTCTTCTGGTGGGCTAAACAAAAATGATATTGAAAATATGGTTAAAAACGCAGAGAAGTATGCTGAGGAAGACAAGAGAAAGAAGGAACGAATTGAAGCAGTTAATATGGCTGAAGGAATCACCCATGATACAGAAAGCAAGATGGAGGAATTCAAGGACCAATTGCCTGCTGATGAGTGCAACAAACTAAAAGAGGAGATTTCCAAAATGAGAGAGCTCCTGGCTCGAAAAGATAGTGAAACTGAAGAAAACATAAGGCAGGCAGCATCTTCCGTTCAGCAAGCGTCCTTGAAGCTCTTTGAAATGGCATACAAAAAGATGGCCTCTGAGCGAGAAGGCTCTGGAAGTTCTAGTGCTAGGGAACAAAAGGAAGATCAAAAAGAGGAGAAACAGTAATAACAGAAAACTTTGGAGCCAAAAGGACAACATATGATGCTTGGGAGTGAAGAGACTACCTGAGCAGAAATGGGCAGACTTCAGTCTTTTACTGTGTATTTGCAGTATTCTATATATTTTCCTTAATATGTAAATTTAGTGACTTAGCTAATGATCATTTAATGAGTGATAATTCCAACAGTAACAAAGCTCACAATGTTCTGTCTGTCCCTAACTTATCATTTTTAAGCTGCACGAAAAAGGGAAGATGATGATTTGATTGTAAAGACCTAATATTGTTTTGTGCTGAAATATAATACCTGTGTTTCCAAGGGGTGAAATCATCCCACACACGACAATGTAGGTAGTCAGACCTGGAATAGAATCAACTGGAGATATAAAATACTTAAGTACTGCCATACCAGCCTGTGTGTGTATACATGGGATTCTTTCAATGGAGGCCTTGCAAGACAAGCCTGCTGTGCCACATTCAGAGTAGAGCAGGGGAAGCTAAGCTATCTATGTTAGGTACAGCTTTTAAAACAAGGTAATAAGACTCCCTAATTTTCCTATGGCATACTTTTACAGCTACCTTCTGGCCTTTGGCACCTGTATCCTGGATTGTTCTTTTTGATCCATTCTGAATTTATTTTTTAAATAAATATGAAAAGCAAAAAAAACGAAAACAATCCCATTTACCATTGCAACAACAACAACAAAAAAATAAGATACTTAGTAATAAACTTAACCAAGAAGGTAAAAGACCTGTAATTGGAAAACTATAGGACTTTGAAAAAAGAGATAGAGGAAGACATGAACAAATGGAAGAATATACAGTATTCATGGATTGGTTGAATCAACATCATTAAAATGTTGTGATCTATAGATTCAATGCAAATCCCTAAGAAGATACCAACAGAATATTTCACAAACCTAGAGAAAACTCTCAAAAAAATCATATGGAATAAAAAAGACCTTGAGTAGCTGTAGCAATCCTGAGAAAGAACAAAATAGGAGGGATCTCAATACCAGATATTATATTACAGTGCCACTGTTCTCAAAACTGTGTGGTACTTGGACAAGAAGAGACATATAGACCAATGGAGCATAACAGAAAACCCAGAAATTGACCCAAGCCATTATATTCAATTAATATTTGACAAAGTAGGCAAGTGTATACAATGAAGTCAAGAGAATCTCTTCAATAAATGGTGTTGGGAAAACTGGATGGATGCATGCAAAAAAATGAAACTAGACCACCAACTTACACCATATACAAAAATAAACTCAAAATGGATAAAGGACTTAAACATAAGATGGGAAACCATAAAAATATTAGCGAAAGCCACAGGCAGAAAAATATCAGACATATGTCGTAGCAATATCTTTACTGATATAGCTCCTAGGACAATGGAAACTAAGGAGAAAATAAACAAATGGGACTACATCAAAATAAAAAACTTGCACACAGCAAAAGAAACCATTAACAAAACAACAAGAAAGCCCACTGCATGGGAGAACATATTTGCCAGTATTACCTCTGATAAGGGTTTAATCTCCAACATTTACTGGGAACTCATATAACTTAACAAAAGGAAGATAAACAATCCAATTTTAAAAATGGGCAACGGACCTAAATAGATATTTTTTTAAAGAAGACATAAGGAAGGCCAAAAGATATATGAAAACATGCTCAAAGTCACTAATCAGCCGAGAGATGTAAATCAAAATAACCATGAGATATCATCTGACACCTGTCAGAATGGCTACCATCAAAAAATCAACAAACAATTGCTGGCGAGGATGTGGAGAAAAAGGCATTCTTGTACACTGCTGGTGGGAATGCAGACTGGTGCAGCCACTGTGGAAAACAGTATGGAGTGTCCTTAAAAAGTTAAAAATGGAACTCCCATTTGACCTACCGTAGTAATCCCACTCCTTCGATTATATCCCAAGAAATCAGAAACATCAGTCAGAAAGGGTATATGTACTCTATGTTCATAGCAGCACAATTTACAATAGCTAAGATTTGGAAACAGCCTAAGTGACCATCAGCAGATGAGTGGATTAAAAAACTGTGGTACAGAAAGAATGTTGGTGAAAAGAAGAAAGAAGTCGACCACTGGGCCTTGAGAAAAACCAACGTTTGGGGAACTGCTGGAGAAAGAGAACTCATGAAGGATACGGGAAGGTGAGCGTGGAGAGGAGGGTGTCAGACTCTCCAGCAGTTTTTCTGAGGGCAGTGATCGCCGGTGGTCCAGCCCCAGGAGCTGCAAATGCTAGGGATTCGACAAGGACCAAGCAATGGCCATTGAAAGGGGTAACAAGGAAATCAGTGATGACTTACTGACAATCATTTCTTTGGTTTGATGTAGTTGAAAGCCAAATTAAAAAAAAAAAAAAAAAAAAAAAAAAAGGGTGAGTGGGAGGTGAGGACCCAGGAGGCAGCCTGTGCAAACAACTCTTTTAAGGAAGAAGTGGCCTTGAAGGGCAGACCAAAGATAGGACTGTCCTGGAGGTGGAGTCCAAGAAGTTTCCTTTCTTTCTTGAAAGACACTGGAATGCATCCAATGCTGACGGCAGGAGCCAGGCTGGGGAGACTGAAGAAGTGGAATGCATAAGTATCCCTCCTCTGGGGGACATCCTGGAGCAGCTCCCGAGGAGGTCTGAGGAAGGCCACCTGAGCTGAGGGTTCCCTCTGCGTCTGAGGAGCTCTCTGAAGACCCACCCCCATGCAACGAGAAGAGCTGGGCCCCTGGACCTGGGCACCCTGACCCAGCTGCTGTCCTGTGAAGTGTAGCAGCTGCTCCACAACAAGTTCATCGTCATCCTGGAAGACTCCATCCAAGGGCCATGTACAAGGACCTGGTGTTCCTGCTGCAGAAGGACTGCCTGCTCACTTACAACCTCTTGCAGATGACATTTGCAGCTTCACAGAAGTGTCCCAGACTCTCAATATCTTAATGCTTTTGGGGTCAAAGTCAGAGTGTAGGGAACAAAGTCAGGCAATGGGGATTCCCCCCAACTTAGTGGTTTGATGTTGGCACAATGTGGCTGTGATATGCCTTAGTGGGGCAGGCAGAGAAGGGGGCATCAGACTGAGGAGCCACACTAGTCCAGTAGCTGCCACAGAGGTGAAGAGCTTTGTGGGGCTCAGAGGGGTCAGACATTTCTGCTTCAGCCACATGATTACAATCATATATGAGGTCCCTCTGCACATTATCAGAAACTGTTGAGAAGAAGAGAGATCTTCAACAAATAGTTTTTGTATTCCTTGCCATTCCCTTCCACCCTGATTTCAAGATAGCTATGATGGGCAGCTGTATGTGAAACACCAGACTCTAACTCAAGCTCTTACCAAGGTATCTCCAGCTTTTCTGCTCAAGTATTTTCTCCAAAACCAAAGAATACCACTAAGCCTGCATGGAGCAACAGCCCAGAAGAAAAGGAGAGCACCCTCCTCAGAAGTACCTTCACCCAGTGGGACAAGAGAGTCAGTGAGCAAATGCCCCAGCTCATTGGAAGAATTCTGAGGCGCCTTCTATAAAGTTCTTCAGAGCCCCAAATGCCCATGACAGCAATCAGCTCAACAAAGTATCTTTATTGGGGGGAGGGAGACAAAAAAGATAACTTTGTTGGATTTTCTTTCTTCCCTATTTCATCTTCTGAGTTCATCGTTGTGCTCTCTGAAATTTATTTTCTCAAAACCACCTGCACCCTGGCTTATTCTCAGACTTTGTCACTGGAGAGATCCAACCAAGGCTTTATTTCAGCCAGAGAAATGGTGACTTTTTTGTTGTTGTTCTTGTTAATATGATACCAATTTATTTCAGACTGATGTGGCCTAATAGATGTAGAAACTTCTTGAATATTACCTGAACACTTGGTTATAATATTTTCCAACTCAGTAGAGGGGCTGCCAATAGAATTGACTGTTCTTTCTGTTGTGGTCTTCAGCATCTCACACATCCTTTTATTATTCACATTTTACATTGCAACACAACTACTTGTTAAACATCTGTCTCCTTCTAGATCATGAAAAACTATGTATGGTTCAATTTTGGATCTCTAGTGCCTATCCTAGCACCTGGTATGTATCAAAGTGTTCAATACGTATTGGTGAAATAATTCCAAAGAAGGGGTTTCTGGTTCAAGATAATTAGCTAAGAATATTTATTTCTTCTCCTTCTTGGACTCTATTAAAATGACAGGATAAAAAAGTATTAAGATAATATGGACTCTCAATAACCAAAGAATACTACTGAGCACCAAAGAGAGTTCAGCAAATTTCTAGAAGATGAAAAATACAAGATAATCTGGTGATGGATGAAGAAAAAAGAAACTACAGTTTGGGATTTATGCTACATCTAGGGTGGGAGCAATCAACCTGGCAGAATTCCAAGAAACTCTGGATTCAAAGATGGCAGGCACAAGGGCTGTGGAAGTGAGAAGTGCCACTAAAAATGGGGTATAACTAAGGATCAATAGAACAATGAACACACCCCCCTACTCTTCTCCCACTCCTACCAAAGAGCTGCCTATAGCTAAACCCAGGCAAGAATCAGAGCATTCTTCTTCTAGAAAATTGAACAAACTGCCAGGGGGAAATTAAGTTGACTAGTGCAAGCATCAGTCCCCAGAATAAAAGCCTGCCAAGTCTGGCATTTACTCCCTTCATTTCCCCTCCTCCCCCGCCCCCCATATCTGCAAGCTCTCTAGGGGCTCACACTAAAACAAAGCATGACAGACAATAAACCATTCTCAGACTTAAGTCCAAATACTTGAGAAAAGCCTGTAAGATATAAAAGAAATCTTAAGGTAGAGAGAGAGAGAGATAAAGAGAAAGAGAGAGAGAGAGAGGAAAAAGGAGGGGGGAAAGGGAGAGGGATGAGAGAAAACTTAGAAAAATGAGGTTTTTTATAGATATAGAGACAGTAAAGCAACAAGCAGACTGTCCAATTACAGAGGGGAGGGGAGGGAGATCTGGGGGAGATAATAGATCAACCGAAGGACTTGTATAC